CAAAACAAATTTTATTCAGCAACGATCTGACATGCAATTTGTTAATAGAAGCGAACTCATAAAACGCAGACAAATAGTTCTAATAAGTTTCATTTTGAAGTTCAGAATTATTGTTCCGACTTTCGATACGAATGTAACGGAATATTTGTGCTCAGATATTTTACCTCTGATCATTTTTCGTAAAGTTACGGGGGTTTAAAGATTGGCATTTTGGCCAATTTGGGACAATTAACGCGCGATATATTTCGCGCTATTAACGAGTAAGCGGAGAGTTAATCCGTGATAAAAATCGTTCCAAATTAGTTGAAAATAGCTTATTTGCCATAATTGATTCTACAAGGAGCCAGATCTATCCTTTTGTACTTTATATAGCATGTGAGGGATGATTTGCATAAAAAATTGCAAATTTTAGGAATTTTTTTTTTCATTTGTTTTATTTCATTTAATTTTTCCATGTTATTACTGCTCCATAGACCTTAAGAGGCAGTCGGAACATTCAGGGCCTCGCCCTGATAAGAGCAGTCTTGTTATTTTTTTTAAAATTTAGGATGTTGTCCGATAAATTTGTTAAAAGCTATATAATTCAGAAGCGTCCACCTCAAAAAATTCCAAAAATAAAACGATTATCAAAAAAAGATACGAGAAATAAATTAAAAGAAAAATTGATGATCCAACTTCAGACAGGTCTTGGTCTTGAGCAATCGGTTATTGTGAAGCTCTTAGATTAACCGACACATAAAATTCGATCTCTACAAAATGAAGTTCTTGCTCCGCGGCGCTTTTACTTGGCATGAGAGTAGTAGTGCGCGTGAATATGTGTTTGCCGCGTTATCTACTATGACGATTTGTCGTTTGTTACCAATATTCGCCTCACGGATTTTTCGAGCTCTGCCAAGTTTCCAATGAAGCACCATTTTATCTAAAAAAATCTGCGCAGTTAGAAAACTTGTGAAAAAACTTGACAAAAATTCCGTACTAGGCTCTTTTTTGTAGCTTGAAAGCTTTCCTAACGTAAATTTGATCAAAAAGGTGAAACTTTAACTCAAGTTGAAGTGAAAAACTGGAAGCATTGAAAATTAATTTCTACTTGAGAATATCAGGATTTATTGCGCAGCAGGCATTGTTCATGCAAAAACAATTGATTCAGTTTGTTTGTTACACTTGCGAGTTTTAGTGAGCGTAGTGTATTATCTCGATTGTTATTTTCAAATCTAATTCGCAAATATTGGTGACACTTTTGGTGGCATCCTTACGGCTTTTTGATAGAATGTGTTTTGTCATTCGATTAGTAATAAATTAGCACAGTTGATGCTTTTTGAATTTATCAATTGAACCGAAAAAAAGCTATTTGTTTCGAACAACATTGCGAGATATATTGAGTTGGAAAATTTTTTCAACAAGTTTATTTTATTGTAATGTTGTTCGAAACAAATAGCTTTTTTTCGGTTCATTTGATAAATTCAAAAAGCAATCCAACTCAATATATATCGCAATTTTTGTGAAATGTATAATTTATACATTATTTGGCCTTATTTGCTCTAAATTTTTCCGTGTAAAATTAGTGTGGAGGCCTCCAGTTTTTAATATTTGAAAGTATTACATGCAAAGTTGTGTCCATTTGTATTTGGTGCCACTTTTGCTGCATCGCGGTGGTAATTTTGAAGCCTTTCTTAGCAATTTTGTTTGAGACTAGTCTTTCGCGAAAGTTAAGGACGAGAGGGCAGCTCGTGAGACTCCAAATCTCGAGGTCGTAGGTTTGCATCCGATACGTAGCGAAGTTTTACTAGTTCAAGGCTCATTTATCTTTTTTTTTTAGTTTTCGTTGTAAGGCTGTTTTTTGTCGTGTTATCGCTAGTGTTTTTGAAGCGCAGCTTTACCTCTGTGTCAAAAATGTATAAACGAGGAAGTGTGCGAATGCAACTTTGATAGGTTCAATTTCAATAGAACTTCTAAAAATGTTTGTTGTAGAAATACTCGTTTCAATTCAGACTAATATGTTTGTCGTATAGAAACACTGGATTGAATTCCTATTCCAAAAAAAAACAGTCATTAAGAGGTAATACGAGAGATTAATACAAAAAATGATGATCCAACTGAGATAAAAGGTTTTTGTGCTGTTTTTAGATTATTCGAAGTTCAAATAAAATTCTGTCTCTATGGACAAATTGATTGTTTCGAATTATCTGACTTGTAAAGTATTCTGATATGTTAGTGTTTACTGTTCTGATTACGTATTTGGGGCTCAGGTATGATTTTTTAACATTAAGTCGGTGATAGCATCTATCACATAAAAAGATTAGATGCGGTCGATTGATTTGACATAAAAACCTGCTTCAGACGCGATTTCAACTGCCAATGAAAAACTTTTTGCAGAGTCAAGAAAAAGTTTATTTGAAAACTTCGCCCACCAAAAATGATTAGAACAGATATTAAATTCGTGAAGTGCAGCAATCGCCGTTCTCTAAAGATCATACTCCCACCGCTGCCGACTATTCTTTTTTTTTCGTTTTTAGGTTCGCAATTTCCACTCAGTCCTTTGCGGCTCTATTTGAATTTCATTTGTTGATACTATGATCTGGAATTTTTTGCTACAGTTATTAAATGACTTTAATGAAAAGAACATAAATTTTCTGTAATATCAAACAGGCGCTTCCGATTTACGTGAGTTCAAAATGTTCGATTTAATTTGAGCAAAGTAATTAGTCATATGAAGTCAGTGCTTGTGCAGAGTTAGGAACATTATAAAATTTCAATTCAATATGAGTGATATAATAAATGCAAGCCCTGCACATTAGGGTTATATCTTGGATTTCAACGAGGAGTGGGCAAGGAGCGTGAAATTAATAAAACTTTTGAAAAACCATTTGATTTTTTGGGTAGGGTGACAATTTGGAACAAGCGAAAGATCGCAACAATCCATTGAAAAGTAGCGATCAGCTTTCACTCGGTATGAGAGTAGTAGTGCGTGTGAATGTGTGTTCGCCTGCTGATCTACTGTTGCGAATTGTCGCTTGTTATGAAAAGTCGCCTCACGGATTTTCCGAGCTCTGTCAACACTTCAACAAAACACCATTTGTCCAAAAAATTCTGCGCTGCCTGGTAAAAACATGAAACAAACTCCGTACTAGTCTCTTTTTAGTAAATTGAAAGCTTTCCTATTGTAAATTGATCAAAAAAGTGAAGCTTCAAGTCAAGATCAGGGGAAAAATGCAAAGCAATGAAAATTAGTTTCTACTTGAGAACATAAAAAATTATTCGCGCAGCAGTCATTGCTGAAAAAAAAACATTTGCTTCAATTTTGTTTGATTTATTTGCGAGCTTGAGTGATTACAATTGATTTATTTTTTTTGTCTAAAATTTACGAATGAGGAAGTTTGGTAATGCAATTTTGATAAGCACAATTTCAATAGAACTTGAAAAAATATATTTGACGTGAGCGAGATACTTGTTTCAAAAAATAATACGTAATTTTTAATTCAAATTTATTGTCGTATCAGCTTTTGATTGCCTTCAAGTGGATAAAATATTGTTCGATAGGTTTTAGTTTTATTTTGATTTTAAATGTCATGAAAGAATTGTTTGTTTTCGTCATAAGCCTTAAAGCTGCCTTCGCTCATTGACCTCTAGCTTTATCTACCACAGTCTGACCAAAATTGACTTCAATAAAAGTTATAACGCCTGACATATTCAGACCCAAATAACAGCCTTGAAGTGTCTCAAAAATTTACAGGCTTTGCTCAATCTTTAGGCAGGCTTTTCCTTGAATTCTCTGCAAATTGCAGAATTAAAATCAAATTCTTATTTAATAACTCACTAGAATCCTGGCTCTGGGAACAAAAATAGTAAAATTGTTTTTCGATCAATTTTGGTCTAGGTTCTTATTTTACTTTTACTGGACATGACTACTTAAGTAAATTTTACCAAACTTTTTTTTCAGGTTAAGTTGTTAGCCAAATTTTTATATGTTGGTTTTGAATTTTCAATGAGTCAATTTTGAGCCAGAAAGTGTGGGCGTCGGAAGCTTCTTTACAACGCTTAATGTGCGTATTAGTCTATTCACAATTAGATAATCCCTTTTCTCTGAAGGTGAATTTGGGAGGCTGGATTTTGATTTCCGATCCTCCAAATCCGCGCCTCCGGCACAACACATTGAATTATTGATCTACTTGTCCATTACTAACACCATAAACAGGGTAGCGGACCGCGCTCAGTTCGATTGCAACCCTCTTTCATGTGATCTTAGATTGCTTTTCTTTTCAGCTCTGACGTCCTAAATTGTCGATAAAAATCAAGTTCATAGACTTTGAACTGCCGTGTTCACGCACGGTGACCAGTGATAAATGAATGACAAATCACCTGAATGAAAGAATGACGTCAATTAAATTTTATTTAAATTAGTTTCACGCTAATAATTCACTGAAACTTTGATAGGGATTTCTATTGTTTACGTATGGTGTACAGCTCATAAAGAGTTCTAGATTTCTTTCACTAATTCACTTGTAATACGTTTTTTTTAATTCAGAAACAATCATTGAGCAGGAGTTGCAATGGGTAGGAGCGGATATGATGCGGTAGTTTGGGCGATATGTATCCTTGTTCCTTGAAATAGTAATAATTTAGATGCAATGAGCACCGAGTCCGAGAGAGGCAGGCGCGTATGTTGTTTAGGGAGTTTTTTGAAAAGTCAAATCTCACAATTTTGAAAACTTCGAATGTTGTTTGCTGGAACTTTATCTTTTTTGGAAAAAGATTTTAAAAAATGCTTGTTCCTTTTTGATTTGTGTCTTTCTTTCTCTCTTTCTCATTTCGAAGGTCTAAGGAGTTATTAAAAATGCCCTGTTTGGGAAAAAATCAAGCCAATACATGTTTGCTAAGTAACTCCTTGTACAAATGGAATTGCTTCATGCTAGTCCAGTTTATACCAGCCATTAGTCCAGTTTATCTGCTCTTACAATGGTCTATATGTGTATGTAATTTAACTCATTGAATTTCTATTTTAGGACTGACTGGCACCTATATGAAGATAGTAGTGTGTACTTCCTCGACTATCTGTGTTGCCCAGCTGGTGTTTCTCCTAATGATGATGGCAGATGCAGATTCAGTGGCTGACCTCACCTTCTGTGAGTGAACAAATCTGCCCTGCCCAAATCGACACTCCCACTGGTTGAATTCTTCTAAATGTTGTTTGTTAGATATAAAACAGGCTCTGCAGAAACGCTCATATCTGCCGTTCCAATGCCTTCTCCCATTATTTTTAGCAAAAAAAAAATCAATAAATGAGCAAATATGCAAGTATGGTTGAGAGGCTTGGTGGTCTCGAGTCATCGTATTTTTTGTTTCGGAGAAGCCAGTTTTCATGATGATAAAAGTTAAGTGCAGACCATACACAACCTCAAGTCTGAGGCTAGTCAACCTAATACTTTATCTACAAAAGTGTCAATGGTAAGGCCAGCATTTGTAATGTTGTATAAGTTCAGCTTAACCTTCACATTTCCTTGATTGTGTGCAATTTAGAAAAGCTTGTTCTGTTAATCAGAATGGCTTGCTTGATTTCCGCCAGAATCCTTGTTTGAAGTTTTTGGAACTCAACATAAATCTAATGTTTTGGATCAAGTGAGTGAGTGATTGATAAAATAATCAAAGGTTGTTTATTGAAGCCATGTCAGCGTATCTTTTTTCAGATTTCCTCTCAGTTTTCCAAGGTTTCAATTCGTACCAATCTTTGTGACGATTGTTGCGATGAAGTGATTAGGCTTAGTTAGGTTACAAAATGAATGAAGTCTTATCAAATTCAACTAAAAGTCTAACTTTTTAACCCCAAAAAAGACTCCACCATGTTCATACCTTGCGTAGACTGCAGTCTTAATGGGTCCTTTGAGACCTCATTATTTAGTGTAATATGAATTCTGATCTGAGTCTTGTGCACTTAATACCAATATGCTTGATGATATCTCTTCACTTTCTTCGCTAATACTTGATTTTAATATTTTTTGGTACTCGATGTAATATTGCAAATTAACTCGTTGAGATTTTGCAAATTGGAATTCGATAAAATTTTAGTTTAAGCTCAGAGACCAAATTAAGTTATTGGAAAGGAAGCAATGACAGCATGATATTGTTTAGCATTCATTAGCAGGAGTATTTTGTTTTGTTCTAAAATCCTAAAAATATCCTCAAAAAGGTTTAGTTAGATTCGGGAGCTGTTAGTTTAGAATTTTGATAATTTTTCTTTGTCACTACCCCCTCATTTTTCAGTATTTAATTATTTTCAAATTGTTTTACGCTTTATATTGGCTGAATCCATGATGTGATGTTACAATGCAAAAATATATATGTTCGGCACACTAGCACTGAGCCCAACAAAATGAGAACTCATGAATTTAGAAAAACCAATTTTTTTTTCATGAAGTTTATAAGAACCCAAAAACAAACAAAGTCCAAAAGCAAACAAGTTCAGCGGCAAGCAAGACTGCTCGTATATCAGGGCAAAACCCTGAAGGTTCCGACTGCCTTTAATCCATATCGAATAGTTTTTGGGAAAAAGTATCGAATAACTTTAAATTTTGGACAATATCAAAAATCAAGTGTGAAAATTCAAATCGTGCGAAGTTAATGTGACCAATTTGCTAGCCTCAATTAAATTTTGTGTGATTTTGTTGTACAGGATAATTTGCCACGCAGAAATAGTTCACTTTACGCTGTCAACATTATGAATAAAATCTTCTAAGCGCATAAATTAGCTCACAGCTTGGCCAAATTGGCAACTTTCAAACTCCTAGAAATGATTGAAAGTAAAATTATTTTTAAAAATAAACAAGACTGCTCGTATCAGGGCGAAGCCCTGAATGTTCCGACTGCCTTTTAAGGTCTATGGAGCATTAATAACTTGAAAAATTTCAATGTAATAGAAAAAAATTTTGAAAAAATTTGAGATTTTATGTAAAAACATCCCCCCACACGTCATATTAAGTACAAAGTGATAGATTTTGCGCCTATTAACAAATCGATTATGGCATAAAAGCATCCTTGAACCAATTTAGAACGATTTCCAAGACGGATTAAATCTCGTTTACGCGTTAATAGAGCGAAATTTATCGCGCGTTAATTGTCCCAATTGGCCAAAATGGCAGTCTTTAAACCCCCATAACTTTATGAAAAATGATCACAGGTAAAATATCTTTTCAAATTTAAGCTCAGGACAACAATAGTTTTCGAATGATATAAAAAAATTCCGTCAAAAATGGCTAGTTAAAAAGTCGAAATTTGTCTGAAGAAAAAAAAACCCACCCCGAGCACAAATATTCCGTTAAATTCGTATCGAAAGTCGGAACAAAAACTGAAAAATAACTTGATAAAAAAAACAGCACTAAGTTTTTATAATCCGTTTTCTTCGAAAGTCAGAAAAACAAATTTCTCGTATATCAAGGCAAAACCCTGAATAATTCGACTGCCCGTTAATTGTTCTAGGTAATAGCACATCAGAAAAATTATAACCTAAAATCGTAAATGTCAATGAACAACTTTGAGTGCGGTATAGTTTCATTCGTGTTACTTTTTCAGCATTATAGATTGAGCCTTCAGAAATTAAACGAGCAGCTAAGACAGGTTTAGATGAGTGTGTAGCACACCAGAGTGGAAACATACAGAGTTTTTGTTCAACCTTTCAAAATTGGTCTGAATAAAAAAACCACCACAAGCGTGAACATTATTCTTCGAAAGTCTAACATTAATCAGCCGCAATACAAAGAACGTTTCCTATCAATTCTGTTCCGCAATACAAAGAACGTTTCCTATCAATTCTGTTCAGTTCTGGAAGCAATCAAGAGCCAGCATTTAGTTTTAGTTAATTGTTGTAAAAATTATTAAGGAGTCATTCGTGCCATCAACTAAACATATATAGTTCAGGAAGCAAAAATTTGGTTTAAAACTCAGTTTTACAAGACCTTAGGAAAATTTAAGCAATATACGCTAAACTGAAGTCAAGGAAAACTGTTTGTTTTGATTGATACAGATGGCGTTTAGATTGGCTTCTTTCTTTGACTTCACTTTAGCGTTAAACGAGTTTTTTTTCTTGAACAAAAAATGGTAACTCCTGAACAAACGATTTTTTTAAGTTTAATAAATTTATAGGAAAAGAAAGCTCAAAGCAAATATCAAATGCTCCAGGGCATCGGAAAATTTTAAAGTAATAAATTACGCCAAAAAAGATGTTTCGAGGTTTTCCGTAATACTGAAAAAAAAACGCCCAAAGAACTTATTAATTTGGAAATATGCAAAATGTTTCCCAAAATTGTCTTTCTTGTTCTTTGGCGCGCTCTAGAACGCCCCTATTTTGCGTTGGAGCCCCTATTGATTTCTTTTAACCATTGTTTTGATATTACTCAAGGAGAGGAAAAATCGACGAAGATGGTTTATTTATGAACTTCAAAAGTCTTTTTAATGGAAAAAAGTCTAGACAGTTGAAAAGCCATCGGTATATTCAGGGCGTGGCTTTGATAGAAAAAATAATGTTGAAAGAGATACTTTCTGTTTCGTAAACTGTGGGCAGCTTTGCTCCTCCTTTGTATTTACTGTAAGCAAATAACAACACAAAACTAATAGTTGTTTTTTTTTTACTAAACTTAAGACTCAAATTACTGTTTGCGTAAAATGAACATCCCTCGTTTCAAAAAATAAGTATCCTTTTTTAAATTTTTTCCTTTTAGTAACCAGCCAGAGCAAATACGATATTAAAAAAATGAGCAAATCGAAAACGTATTTTGTGATCGAAGTAGCATCAAGAGTGTTATGCGTGTTATGCTGTTGTTTCGCTTTATTCTGATCCAGAACTAATGAAAAAAAATTTTTCTTTTGGCTCGCAGAATTTGCATGAAATTGCGTGTACGGTGCATTATGTTGCTCTACAGTAAAAAAAAAAACAATTTAAATGAAAAACAATGAATTTGATGTATCTGAAAAAAAAATCGCTGATAGCGCCTCAATTTTTTTATTTTCTTCACCTAATTTCTGTGTGTGTGTTTCTTCCCCTTTTCGACCCGGATAAACAAAGAATATGTCACTCATGTTTTATTTCTAATTTAAAGTAATGTTCTGCAAATTATATGGCTTGTAATGTTTCGCCATTTTCAAACTACGGATAAAAAAGCGTCTTAATGAATGTTTTATGAGCCGACTGTTTTTTTTTATTGTCAATTGTTCCGAAATTCTGTCTGAACAAAAATAACTGCGTCATGAAAAATTAATAAATAGCCATCTTCTGAGAACTCATTTTGCTGGTTTATGCGTTTAGATTAGCTCTCTAAGCACCGTGGTATTTAAAAAAAGAGCAGTATAAGATAGAGTACTATGGTGTCTTATTGATTGATAATTTTTCCTGCTTGGTGTGAAATCGTACTATAAATATAGCTAAAGTGATTAGAAAGGGGCGGTTCTAAAATAATGTAACTCCAGACTACTCTGATACCAGAGCTGATTAATTGTTCAATCATTGATTAAATATGAAAAAAGTATGAAAAGAATATGAAAACTGCAAAACGGTTGGAAGTGACTTGTTCATGTTTCAGTTTGATGTTGTTTTCTTGTTTTCTCTGAATTGAAAAAATAAAATACCAAACAATTTTTTTGAGAGGGTTTGCACTGAATTTTTAAAGAACCCTCTATAGTGTTTTTGTTATTTTTTAAATGGAAGAGTTGAAACTTGGCCGGGTCTTTTTTTACCTGGCTTGGTCTGTGGTTTTTATTTCCTAATTGAGCGAAAAAATTTGTTGCTGTGCAATTTACGCATAATTTTCCAACCACATTAATCTAAGTAAAGCAATTATAAAATAAGCAAAATTAGACATTTTCCTCCGTTTTGTAGTCGAGAGATAAAAATCCGCTAAATTAATACATTTTATCTTAAATGTCACGTTAAAATGCAGTATATTTAAATAGCAAGCCCTTTTTCCCAATCATTTGGGTAACCCACAGTCTAACTTTTAGTAAATTAGAAAAACGCAGAACAGTTTTTCTTTCTCTCGACACTTGAAATTTTTTGGAATCTGAATCACGTACAGCTGAAAGGTCTTTAATATGATACCTTGCTTGACCCGGTTACGACCTTTGCTTGAGGTAATCAAAA